ACTTCTAGCAGAAGAGATAATGCGTGTATATATATATAATATCTATGTACGTATGTATATATATGTCACAGAAAATAAGAAATTTAATCATTTTCTGCATTATTACTTTTTGTTGTGAGAATTTGGTGGATATTAAGCAACGAAACGCGGACGCGCGCAAATGTCGAATTTAATGACCAGCATAAATACCGAGGAATCCCCTTCCGGCCATCCATCATGTCGCGGATGTTTTGGTCGAAGAGATGAACGAGTTACGAGACACTTTTGGAAGAGTCTATGCTAGAACGTACCTGATTTTGTGTGTGTGAAGCAAGCATATCATTTCATGGAAGATCATAAATAATTTCTGAAAGTTCTGACTTTATTTACAATAATTTTATTTCAATTATTTCAATAATTGAAAATAAAGCTAAAATTCTCAATTATTTACGATCTTCTATGACATGATATGCCAGCTTCACACACACCCTGATTTTAGGCTGCTGAGCATTAACATCGAAAACATCAATTCAGACGATTTCTGATGAGAAGTAAGGCTCATAAAACTCTTAAAGTCAAGTCAAGTTATAAACCTATTTAAATAGAGATACTGCAGAAATATGTAAATATTTTACTTCTTAAATTTTGTTTAATTTTTATATTTTTCCATGTTATTGTTTGCTATAAAATATAAAAACAATAAAAAAATTAAAAACGGGATAAAATTTTTAAACAACAGCACATATAAAATACAAAAGTATTAATACTATTAAAATCTATTATAACTTTAAAAACATAATAAATTGATATAGAATTTGTAATTTTTGCAATATTTAATCAAATATATATAAATAAATAAATAAATAAATAAATATATATATATATATATATACATATAATAGGAAACGTTTATATTTAATTATAATTATTTAAACAAATTCGCTTTATATTTAACATACTTTTCAAACATACGCTTTTTAATTGACGTATTCAGTTTACATAAAAATTAATTAAATACACATATTTAAAAATTTGATAGTGAAAAAATATTAAAATTTCTAGAGTAAATCTGAAATAAAATTTCTGCAATATGAATTTTTATATAAAATTTTCTCGATTATATTTAATATTACTTTTGTTTTTATCGTATATATATATAAAGATATAAGTGATTTTTTTTTCTTTTACAAGAAATCTGTTTCTCATAGTTCTCTCACTTTAAAAAATATTTTTCTCGCTTAAAATCGTATTATAGGAAAACGAAACTTTAATAACAAGAACGTTAATTTATCTTTCAAAAGATGATAATTATCTTAATACTTAATAGAAAATACACAAAAGATTTTACTCTAAATTGAGTAATGTTTAACAAGGGATGGCACAAAGACAAGGTTTATTGCATTTGGGCGGCACTTTACGTTGCATTATCTCAACGTTCCTTGGATTTCCTTCACGCAGAGAAGAATCGCAAAGCTTTCATAACTCATCTTCACTAGAATAAGTAAGATTCTCGGAAAATCTTATAGAAAAGGAATACAATAGACACACAGCCACAGTCGTTCGCTGCTAACTTAACTTACATTCGCGTCCGATTCTTTTGATATTCCAGCTCGAAGGAATCGTAAACTGATATTTCGTAAGGATCAAGTTCCGATCTTCTCCCTTGAGAGAAGGAAACAGAAACAGATATGCATTGACCCTTTAAGATTCAATATCAAGCTATGCATTTTCATTGCACTCTCAATCAGAACGAAGAAGGTACATATAGGGGATGACCAATCTCTCTGTCTTTATACATATAACTTTCTTTCATAGTACTGTATCTTTTTTTAACGATTCACTTTAGATTAAATATCGATAAAGATATTGATGGTTGAAAAAAAACCAAAAAGTGAACATTCAATCTGATGTCATTTTTTATGTATCATGGAAAATTATGCACAACTTTATAGAAATTCTTAATTCAAATAATAAATACATTACTAGAAATATTTTTGTAATATTGATAAGGGAAAATTTATGACAGATTATATCTATATATATACATAATAATTATCTAATTATAATTTTTTTAATCAATATATCTATTTATAATTAATATTACTTTTAGATTGTATAAAAATTAATCCACGACTTAATTTGAAACAAATTAAAATACTATTTACTAGATAATAATCGATTTATCTCTTTTCTCTCGTATTCTCTTTTCAACACTCATTTTTACTCGCATTTGCGGAACTAATAAGGTTTAGAAAATAATGACTTTGTTCGAGCAATCGATTGTTTCATTCATAATTTCTTAAAAATGTTAACTGATAATCGGATTGTAATCCGGAGACGTTACAAATTTCATCCCAATACTATTTCTGTTTAATATGCAATCCAAGTTTGAATAAAATGCGATTAATCTCTCGCAATTATTTTCATCTTAAACTCCATTTGATTTTCCGACTTAACTCGAGAAAACTTGCCGTAATCGACGCGTCGCCACTGACCATCCGCGCGTAGATCGATATTTAATTAAAGAGGGATCGTTGGAAAAAAAGAAAACAGATAAGTGGAAGGAAGAAAAATGTGGAAAAGATTGGAAAAACCTGGTGAACGTGAACTAAAAATGCATCCGGCCGTGCTCTTCGAGAAAACGTGCACCGAGCAATTTTGTATCCTAGCTATTAAAGAAATCTATATATATTCGTCCATTCCCAATAAAATCTATGTTAGATATAAATACGCTTTTGAAATATTGGACATTGAATCATGTTTGCTCGTACGATCAATCTTCGGTTTAAATTTTTACGTGGGTAACAACATTGAAATGAAACTCTCTTTTAGCAAAAGGATGCGGTTTCTATATTGATAACAGAAAGTAAGAAAAGGAAGGTTTGATTGAAAGGATTTCTTTAAAATGTTAATCAATAGTACTTCCGAAAGACGTAATTATTAAAATATTGCACGATATGAAAGATATTAAATTATTAAAATGTTACAGATTGACAGATTGATTTAAAATTGATTAGTAAAAGAATTAAAATACAAAGCGAAGAAAGTGCATGATATAAAGTACGAGTAGAAACAAGTCTCACATTAATTGCTAAAGAAATAAATAAACTAAAACTGATTCGATACGTAACACGCTTTGATGCATGTATCTATTTTAATTATATCATTAAATATAATTATTAATTTCTAATATCAAGTCTTCAATTGAGAATTCTTTATATTCTTGAAAAAATTGAAAGAGAAAAATTGCTGTGGATCATGTCAATGTTATCAAAGCATAATTTGAAAAGTGCGCATACATAAATACATGTGTATATCCATTCCAATTATTTTTTTTCTACGAGACAGACATAAAAACTAGACGAAGCTCCGCTACAAAAACCGCATCCACCAGTTGCATACGCTCTTTACTGCCGATCGTTCGATAACAATAAAACCCGTTGCCGAAGTAGAAGGAAATCTGTCTGAAGCGGGAAAGGAAATTCAAAAAAGCGAAAAAGTGGGTCGCGAAAATTGAACGGGCGTGTCGAAAAATTGCGTTCGTACGGAAAAATGCGAAATAGCGAACAGCGCGACGTTCGCTTCCCTAGGAATGATTCCCGGTTGGCGCCAAGTGCCCTTTAATCTATCGGGTGTCTGCGAAAAAGCACGACTGACACAAAATGCGCGAATGCGAATTCGGTGGCGCGACGCGACCGAGAGAAAATCGCGTTCTTCGCGGAATGATTACGATCACCGTTTACGTGAATCGCAGTTGAAATCGTCCGCAAATTCGCACGCACGCTCCGGTCGTTCCGTCGATCTTCCTCCTGCGCTCTTATTACCACGAAAACCGTGTTTTCGGCACTCCGGCAACTGCAGCTCTTACTACGGACGCAAGAATTTCGGGAAGATTCTATTTGCGCGTGTTACTCGGAGCGAAGAATTTAGATAGATAAGTTATAGAGTTCGTACTTCGATGTAAACATTTTAGGAATTTCCAGTTTTCCTTCTACATTCTTTCTACGCTGCAAATTTGCAAGTTTTCGCTTTTGCCTTTTACTTTGATTATAGTTCAAGAGTTGTATGAAAATATGAGAACATCATTCTGACATTAACATGATATTTTTTATTTAAAAGAGAAAAAACCGATTAAGAGAGAGAGAGAGAAAATTAAAACGTACCCTCCCTTATGATTTACGTCACTCTATATCTACATACTGTTATAAAGTTTCATCAACGTTGATAAGCTCCAATCAACAGTCGTTATACATTTGCGCAGAGCATTGAATACTTTGACAAACCCTTGAAATAGGATGAGAGCTAAGAGCGACACATCTCCAAAGGGAGAAGCTTCCGTTAAGGCGCTCATATATCTTCGTTAAATCTATATGCCACGCTTAGTCGCCGCGAGATATACGCACTAGAGAGAGAGATTTCGCTTTCAAAGGAAACACAACGATATCTGTGTCCTCACGATTCCTCATGACAGATCGTCGTAGACACGCCATTTCCTATACGCATGACGACGACCATTCCCGTATCTACATTTACGTAGGGAGCTCCCTAATCGTGGCCGCGATATTTATTGGCGGTTCGCTATTTCGGAAGCGACAATTTGTCATGCCGCTGTATTAATTACATAGGCTCTCTTGTGTAGATAAGGGTGTTGGAAGCAACCTGTTTGAATCGAAGCTGTCTCCGGTAAATTTTCAGATTAATTGCCGCCGGGCCAATCAGTGCTTGTTTGCAATTAATAATGATATAATCGCGCGATCTTTGTCAATTGTTCGGGGATGATTTATATTTTGACTATCACGCACAATAAAGGAAATTCATAATAATTTATATACACATATGGTTTTTATTGAAATACGAAGTATCTCCATTAAAGTGGAGACCTTTCAACCTTTTGATACGCATTATTATTGTACTTACTTTTTATGTCAATTTAATTAAATCGACAATTTAGAAAGAACTCATGTTAGAGTGCCTTCGCTGTTGCGTTATAGAAAAAATAAGTAAAATAAGAAAAGACTTACTACTTTGTCGCCCAGATTTCGCACACGGCATGGTAGATATGCGGTATGTCCTATAAACGCACTGACGTTCGCTGCTGTCGGCTCGAAGAAGGTCAAGTCTTGCTCCAACTGCAAATCATCATTGGCATCGTTTACATGCCACTGCGTACCTTCTTTTAATGTAGTTTCGCGTACGTATGCTGACGCTGAAAAAAAAATAAACATGATGAACATCTGATCCGACAAACATGATCCAGACCGATTACGGCGCTTAATTCTGTTTTTCAACAATACGATTTATAAATTGATACTACATAAAAAAAAACTTCTGTTAAGCAAAATATCATTAAAAATAATAAAATCTTGCGCAAGTTTGGTGAGATACAGATTTAATAAAGAATAATTTTTGTCATATTTGAGGCTTAACCACACATGTTTCGTTATGTTGAACAGAAGAGGTATGAGGAATATGTTCTATCTTCCCCGTGAAACTTGTATGCGAATTCTGGACAGGAAACCAATGCTCTTGCCGACGTCTCCCGCGAGAGCGCAACTCCAAGTCTGCTGCGAGCGACTGTTGGATGTACTACTTACAAGATACCAGAATCCAAGTGCATTATAACTGGCAAGTAGCGAACTGGCGCCGAGCGAGCAAACTCAGCTCATTTCTTAAGCGTAATACGCTCTTCGACGTTTCGGTAGAATATCTTATGGAACATAGCTATGCACTTTGCTTCATTGTACATGCTCATTTGTACCTCTATAGAACTCTGCTCACCCTTTCCTTAACTCCCCCATCCTCTCCTTTTCCTTCGCTGTCCCTTTCGTCATATACTATAGACTATAAAAGAATAGTCTAGCGTACTTTGGCGACAATTGTTTGCTCGTCTTCATGATGGTGAAAGACATCACACGATTTGTAACAAACGACCTGTATTTCATCGAGAATGCTCGCTAACAATTTTATTTGCAAAATTTTCGACAAAGGATATTGCGAGTAATGAAAAAGAGAACTAGAAATGTTTTATGTTTAATTGATAACACATTTTTATTGGTTCACCTATGGGATTGATCTAACTTTGCAATAAAAGAAATTGTTTGGGCGTTCGTAAAAACTTGTTTTAATAAATTAGATTACAAATTTTTATCATGACCACTCGTATTTGCATGTTTTTATAATCAGAGTCTTCTTTGTGTGTGTGGATGTGTGTGTGTGTGTGATTACCTCTAACTACATTTCAACTATGATTAGAGAAAATATAACTACATATATTCACAAATACAAAAAAAGTTATTTTATAACATACTCTTCTTTTATATGTATTCTATATATTTCGTTTTTTGCAATACAAATTTATATTTAAAATATACACATTGATATCGAAATTAAAGCTTTGAAATTAAATTGCAATGCAATTTATAAAATAATGGTAAAATTATAACATAAAAATGAGTGTTCTTTAAGTCTGATTCCCGCATTTGCATTTCTCTCTGGCAACCCATAGAATTTTTTCAAATATATATATATCACGTAAAACAAAGACATGTAGTAAGAAAAGTTAAAATTTCAAATAAATCCAATCTTTTTAGAAAAATTATATGGTTAATTCTTATTATACAAGTATATCTGGGTTTTTGATATTTTTGTCTACTACTTAAACACGTGTTGCAAAAACTTTTCGAAATAAACATCAAACAGCTGTACGGATTATTCTTTGCTTAGTATACCTTCGAAACGCTTAATATATTCTCCATCATCATCAATCATCATCAAACTGAACGACGATACCTATTGGTGGTTGACAAGGATTGATCCGAAAGGAAAGTTTGTAATAGAAGCTGTGCGAGTTGACTGCGCGAATTCGCTAATGCACGGAAGAAAATCAAATGATGAAAACGGATACTTAATTTCTGTTTTATTTTATTCCTTGCAGTCTAATTTATATTTTAACCTATCTGGTCATCACCAATATATACAAAACTTTCTTGACATTCATACAGTAATCTTAGTATTATATTATCAAATGCTGCAAAAAAGTAACAAGAAATCAATTTCGTACATAGGCTGTGAAATAAGAAATCTTGCTTTAAAATATAATAAATTGCCCAATTTGAAGCATCTAAACATTTATTTCAATCCATCGCTCTATTGTATCACCGTTGTTCACTTTGTACCGTTGCAATGCCCGAATAAATGTGAATAAAAAAATCTCTTCTATTGTGACCAAAAAGACACTTGCCAATCATTGTTCTCTTTTTGATCCTCGAGCGCGTGCAATCTGATAAATTTAATTGAATAAACCTGCGTGCGGCATGAGAGTAAATCCACGGTGAACGCAACGAGGATTGCGGGGGCTTGAAACGCGGATGGGTATCGAATTATCAAACGAATCTGCCCAGAACAACCCACTGACATCGTAACTCGTCGGACTGACCGTTTCGCATAAACAATGCTCTCTCCAAAAGCCTGCGGTATTCTCTTTCAATCTCGACAAAAACACGATGATTCGTTCACTGTGTCATGTAATCTTTATCTGTTATATATGATGACCTATATTTGAAGCTTTTGCATAAAATAATTTTGTAAAATGTAACAATAAAAAATATTTTATACTATACATATATATGACAAATATATATATGGTAAATTTGTTTAAAACTTTTAATCTATTTAAAATTAAATTAAATTCTAAATTGTTTATACACATATTATAATTCACTGGACACACAGAGTTGTAATAATTTATGCATTTCACAATGTTCTGACAGTTTGTAAATTACGTTTTAAATATAAAACACGCATGACGCATCAAGTATTACGGACACATCAATAAGATTACAATTCGAAAGTTAATATTGACTTAGTTTATATGAACATTTTCGTTTACTTGACTCGAGAATCGGAAGTAAATATTAGTTTGGTTCCATCACTATCTCCCACCATCTCTCTTGTGGTGCGATAACGCCCGTATACATACCCATTCCACTAGCGTTATACAAATGACCAACAGTCCACCCCTTTACGCCTTCGCTCTGGTAACACGAGGTAAGCCCTTCCTGATAACTCTAGATTAATTGACAAAAAGCTACCGTCACAAATAAGGATGATGTACATTACCTGAAAGTTACCCTGCATCGTCATTATCGTTACCTCTATCACTTCCAATCGTTTTTCCGATTACATAAATTAGACAGAAGCATTATAAATTAACTTTTATACCGCACAAATATATATTTTTGAAAATAAATAAGGCAACGTCTCGAGACATTTTTGAAACTATTATACATGATATTGCACGTTGAAATGAATAATAATATTTCAGTATATTCTTAAATTACATAATTTCTTACGAAAATCTATATTCTTCCTTTACATATGCAACTTGCATATATTAAATAAATCAAATCCGGAGCCGGTGCCAACACATTTAAAAGTGAATGCATGGTATGAATCACGCCAAGAAATTTGCGGAACAATTTCGACTACTCTCTCTTACAAATATATTTCTGTTAGATACAGTAATACCTTCATGTCTGACTACAGCCATCCGTTTCTACTCGTCGCGAATTCTCGCAGGCGCCACCTCTACAAGCGTCTTTACAACCCCTATGCGAATAGTCACTTACTACTTTTTTATCCCAAGGGACTTTTTTCGTCCCAGATTTCGTAATATTATAAACTGTGCGCGTAAATGTGCCGTAAACTAAGATTACTCCCTGTCATCATCATCGTCATTTCTATAGCTAGAGACATTTTTCTTCCTAAAAACGCCAATAGACAAATCCTTTAAAAGGATCGAAAAAGGACAAAAATACTACCCATATGTAAGCCTTAGATTCGTTTTTTATTGATGATAAAAACGAATTTAATGTTTAGTTATGCTTGAATCGTATCACACTGATGATTGTACATTCACATAAAATAAGCGCCATTACGTTCTTATAATATAATTAAATGCTTTAAATGCGTTCGCAGTTTTTATGTGTGTCGTTTTGATATTTTATTCCAATTACGACTATATTATAATTTAATGATTAGCAGTTAAATTTGCAATAAATAAGGTTAGATATTTGCAAAAACGTATTGCGTCATTTCAAATAAAAATCTTTTTACACTATTAATTTAATAGATGGAAACGTATATTAAAGTATAGGTACTCTGTGCTTTTATGTTTAATATGGACAGTTAATTCTTTTACAGTATAACGTATTAAGTTCAAGATTTTTGTTGTTAAATGTATCTATAATAAAATTATTTATCTTGTCTATTTGATTTAAAATCTAAATCACTGTGGTAATAAATATTTAGGCGCACATACATATATAGAAAAAAAATCAATATAATTTTTTATTACTTTTACATTTATCTAAGGGATAAGTGTGAGATAGGGAATAGCTGTCTCTAGAGACATTTTCGTAAATTTTCGTGTGGGAAGTCACAATTACTATAGAAGAGTAACATAACGTCCCACAAATTGCCTACGCACTAAATCTTCTTGGACTACTTCCTTCCAGATCCCACCTTTCTTACGAAGTTCCTAATTCGCGTGTTCGAGCGACCGACATTTTTATTTCTTGGAAGCATTATCTAGGTTTTCCCCTAGCATATTTCTTTCCGACGCGCTTTTCTGGGCTGCTTGCGTCTTTTAACGCGCTTGACATGTAGCATTTTAAAATTTATGCATGCACAAAACAAAAATAAATTTTTATTCGGCTAAAAATAATTGCGTTCACGAAATTTGTGCATATATACACATATATATGTATGCATCTAGAAAAATTAATTTTAATATATTGAATATTATAAAATCAATTTCAAATTAAAGACCGAATTTCGAAAAATTTGAAATTGGTCAAAATTAAAAAAACTAAACATTAAAAAACAAATTAACGTCAATATAGATATTTAATGACGAAGAACTTTTCAATGTAATAAACGGGATTGATAAAATTGTAATTGACATTTTCTTGTAAATCGTGACTAATACATTCCATTTGTCTCACTTTAAATCATGTTACTTGCATATCTCGCCTCTATTGTCTTACGGACATTTAGGGCATACCAGCGAGTATACTATACTAGTATTTCAACCATATCATAATGCGCACATCCAGATGAACGCAAGTGCGAGCAGTAAGCGGGACGACCTTCCCATGTTTCATCCAAAATGTACTTAGATAAACACATACGCAAACGGAGCACTCG